TGACGTGGATGGTTTTTGAACTGCCAAAAACTTGCCTTAAAATTGGATTTAAGGTCTCAAATTTCGCAGATGACATGTTTGCAACTATATCATTTTGATGTATGTGTTGTGTGGGCATTAATTAGCCAAATGGTGAGTAAAAAAACGTCAGTAGTAATTTTGCACGTTTTTATGCACTCACGATCCCAGTCTGAGCTAAACCATGCCACAGATACAACTATGAGCAAGTTGGGGCGAGACTAGTGGTCGATTCCTGACGTATTTTGATGCCTGAGCACTAATATCAACATGCAAACGCCTCTAGTCAGACAATGGTCAAAATTGTTCACCAAATAAAGAGAAAGGTCAAGAATAATTCAAAAAAAAAATTGGTCCTGAATATTAGAGGGTGATTGGCAATAAATATTTTCAGGTTTTTGGAGAAAAGTTCAAAAACGAATAGTGTCTAACATTAAATGCATTAGATAAAATGACCTGAGAGCAAATATGCAGTCCTATGCCCTCTGTCTGTCTGGCCTCAACTCCATTTTCAAAGCTGTTAATGAAATAAAATGAATCAATAAACATTACTGCAACTTTCCTAAAAAATACAGCGGTGCTGTTGAAACCCCTCGGCCTGAGTTTGTTGATATAAGGTGCAAAATTACAAGTTCATGTAGTAGAATAATTAATACTGGTCAATGGAATGACCTAGACCTTGACCAATGACGTTGACCTTTGACCTTTTGACCCCCAAATCAATCCAAACTTGACTTTCCTGAAGGGCAACCCCTGAAGTTACAAACCCGAATCACATTTCTAACTCAAATTATCATCGAGAAACAATCTACCTCCAACTCACCACTGATATACTCAGCCAAAAATAAGAAAATAATTTTCTGACATTCTTCTAGTTTGGTAAAGTAGAGATATATTTATTTATTAATTAAGAATTTGCTAACTTTAAATAACTTTTTTAGTGTTAACCAGGAATTTTCCAAGATTTACGCAAGTGCGCTACGTTAGGGAACACTCAGCTGATTTTTTGCCCAATTTCCGGACACCACCGTTTTTTTTAAAATTTTGCTCAAAATTGTATGACAGTGAAATTGTTTACAGAATTTAAATGGCAAACACTACTGAAAAAAGTACCAGTAATAACTGAATGAATTTGAAGTTTATCGACAAAGAAGTTTGGCAACCGTGCATGAGGAAAGTCACGTTAGGGAACACCACTATATGTGTGCATTGATACTGGGTTCTTAATTGGGGTAGGTGCGGTGAACTAAAAACAATAGGCCCTGGCCCTGCTGACTATATGACTATACAATCATGGAGCTATAAAAAGAGGTCTTACCCAACAATGTATGCAAAGCATTCAAAACTACTCCGGAAAGACTCCCATACCTCAGACGTCACTGACCAACAAAGACTAGGAAATGTCCTTTGACATGTTTTCTCAGTAGGCATGCCATGGTAGCAACTTTTCCTGCTAAATCCCACACTTTTGGACATATTATCCCTTTTAATGGTGATAAGTCACTGTAGGGAAAAAGTAGTGATGCCCAGATATATGGGAATCTTTCCAGTACGCCGAAAAGAAGTTGAATTTTGAGAAATAAATAGTCCAGACTTACCTGACGTACAGGCCTATATAGCCTACCGCTGCATTATCTGCTGCATAATGTTGATCGATAACCAAACAACAGGTGGCGCTCTTTACAATTAACGGTGTCAGGTAAGTGATGTTGAGCAGTACGCGTTGCCATGGTGATACGTCATCAGTGTGCTCTGCATCCTGTATGTGCTCCACAGTTGACATCCTTGGTAGAACCTTCAAACTCTGACAACTTCAAGAAACAAAGGAAAACAAGTTACTTTAACATCTTAACCTTCTAATTCATAAGGTTAATTGTTTTCATCTGCTATTTTTGGAAAGGGCATTGTTTGAAGAATTTGGTTGACAATAATTACTGTGAAATTTGAGAACAATTTCCCCAAAAAACTGACAAATTTACAAAAGATAAAAATGGGGCCTGTAGGGCCTGACCATACTTCCTGAACTTAGTTTAAAATCCTTTCACTTACAGTTCTGGAAGAATGACCATACAATCATGGAGCTACAAAAAGAAAGTCTAACAATGTATGCAATTGAAGCATTAATAACCCCCTAGGCCCTTTTTGCTTAGAACCATACTCAATCCTCTAAAATTTTGCAACTCCGCCTAAATTTTTCAAAATTGTCAGACAGTCCTGCCTCAAAATGCATTCATCGTCAATCCTCCAAAATCCTCCTCATCCCAAAATTTTGCACTCGTGTTTAAATGAAGGATAACCAACGCCAAATCCTTCAAAATCATCAGACAGTCCTGCCACAAAATGCATTCATCCTCAATCCTCCAGAATCCTCTTGTGCTTCAATCACCATTCATCCTCAGTCCTCCAGAATCCTCATGTGCTTCAATCACCATTCATCCTCAATCCTCCAGAATCCTCATGTGCTTCAATCACCATTCATCCTCAATCCTCTAGAATCCTCATGTGCTTCAATCACCATTCATCCTCAATCCTCCAGAATCCTCACGTGCTTCAATCACCATTCATCCTCAGTCCTCTAGAATCCTCATGTGCTTCAATCACCATTCATCCTCAGTCCTCTAGAATCCTCATGTGCTTCAATCACCATCCTCAATCCTCCAGAATCCTCATGTGCTTCAATCACCATTCATCCTCAATCCTCCAGAATCCTCATGTGCTTCAATCACCATTCATCCTTAGTCTTCTAGAATCCTCATGTGCTTCAATCACCATTCATCCTCAATCCTCCAGAATCCTCATTTGATTCAATCACCATTCATCCTCAATCCTCTAGAATCCTCATGTGCTTCAATCACCATTCATCCTCAGTCTTCAGAATCCTCATGTGCTTCAATCACCATTCATCCTCAATCCTCCAAAATCCTCATGTGCTTCAATCACCATTCATCCTCAATCCTCCAGAATCCTCATGTGATTCAATCACCATTCAATCCTCAATCCTCCAGAATCCTCATGTGATTCAATCACCATTCATCCTCAATCCTCCAGAATCCTCATTTGATTCAATCACCATTCATCCTCAATCCTCTAGAATCCTCATTTGATTCAATCACCATTCATCCTCAATCCTCCAGAATCCTTCTATGCTTCAATCACCATTCATCCTCTATCCTCCAGAATCCTCATTTGATTCAATCACCATTCATCCTCAGTCCTCTAGAATCCTCCAAAACCGCCAGGAGGATTTTGGAGGAGTGAGGTGGGTTAGGGTTAAAAAATACTCCGGAAAGATTCCATACCTGGAGTTCTGGACATTTAGTGAAATGTCCTTGGTGTTTTTTCAGACAGTAGGATGCTGGCAGAGGCAGTAAGCATGTAGGATGGAACGCCTTATTATCGCGGTACTTATCACGTTTCTTGTTTGGACTAGAGATTGCCCGCTAACCTTCCCGAATTGTCCTGTCTCTTAGGTTGTATAACTCTTCCTTTTCAAATACCTGTGAAAATAGACATGATTGGAATGTGCGAATGGAGGTGGATATTATCACGGTATGTGGGAATTGTGGTTTTTATAACTCAACTTTTTTTCAATACATGTAGTTAATGTTTTACCAAAACATCCCCTGAATAAAGTCTGATCTTTTCCCTGTAACGTTCAAGTTGATTAAACTTTGACAGACTATATCCCTGCAGGATGATTTCTTAAAACCCTGCCCTTCCCCGAAAGGAGAAGAAAAATTACTGTGACAATTCTAGTGATTGGCGATTGGGGGCGCCATTCAGTTTACACGGTGTGCCGTTTTATTTTTTTACGCGCTGTCCTTATTTTGATCCCGTAAAAGTTTTTACGATTTCGCGGTGGAAATATCGTCCTTCGACTTCATTTTGTGTTTGCAGCTGTAGAAGGGGAACCAGACAATGGAACTTCCATGGACAGAGCACCATTAATGATTTATGTTAAAATATAGACGGTACCTTTTAGTTTTAACAGACACGGTGAGGGAAAATTTGCAGGTTTTGGAAAATGTGAATATTTATTAAAAATCGTTAAAAGTCCCGAAAAACACAACATTTTTTAATCGTCCTTTTTTAATACGACTCGGCAGTAAGTCCTTATGGCCTGGAGGACCTGGATAAAAATCGCCACTTAAAGGAGTTTAGTCAACACAAAATGAGAAATTGGCCATGCCGCGATAAAGGGATGCCGCGATAAGCCGACGATAGTTTTTAGGTAACAAATTTCCCTGCTAAATCCAATATTTTTGGACATTTTAAACCGGAATTGTGGCATAAATCACTAAAGGGAGAAATGAGTAATGTCCAGATATGGGAATCTTTCCAGTACGCCGAAAGGAAGTTGAATTTTGACAAGTAAATAGTCCAGGCTTACCTGACAAAACTAGCCCTGCTGGTGGACTCCCTTTCCTCCCTACGTTAGTCGTATTGCAATGAAGACTTCGTCCAACCTGGGCTACTGACAAAACATGCTTGGTGCACAGGCCTAGCCTACCGCCACATACATTATCGGGAAAACCAAACAACAGGTGGCGCTCTTCACAATTAACGGTGTCAAATACAATCTCGTTTACGTAGTGTTGAGCGGTACGCACTGACAGGTACTTAATACAGGAAAGAAAGTTACGACATAAAGTTAACCCTGGGGACAAGGTTGCGAAAAAGTTTCGAAGTCCGAATTTTCCCATCATGCATTGAGAAATCCCAATTCCTTTCTCGATACGCGATAGGAAATGGGAAGTGGGAATCGTTATTCGTTATCCGTTTTGCTGTCGAGAATGGATTTTGGATTCGAAGTCCGTTATCCGTTTTTCTTTTTGCTTAGGAAATAGGAATTGGTTTCGTTATCCATTTTTCTTTTTGCTTAGGAATTAGGGAAGTGGGTTTCGTAATCCGTTTTTCTGTTTGCTTAGGAATTGGGAAATGGTTTCGTTAGGAAGGAATTAATGCGACCGGGATTTTACGGGTTATGAGAGTGTCACTTTTCACACCGTTAATTGTGAAGGGCGCCGCCTGTTGTTTGATGATATCCCATTATTGTCCGCATGCAGTAGGCTGATGTATATGTAGCAGACAACTCGATCGATAACGTACATGTAAGTCATCACGTCTAGACTTTTTATTCACACTTCAATTAGTCAATTCATTATAGGCAGAGCATTTGAAGAGTACATTTGCTAAAAAAAAAGCAGATAAGAGCCAATATTACATTCTATAGTTGTACCAAATTGGAAAAAAAACACAAACTAAATATTTTCGGTATAAATCCTTACTTTCTTTAGGACCCCATTCCTATATACGCCTAAGGTTAAAAGACTCACCAAAACAGCTGACTAAATGACACTCAAAAGTGACATTCTGATATTTATTGACACATTTGACAATTTGGTAATGACACCTCTTGAATATCAGCAGGTTTGATTTTGTAGAAAGAGGGCAGGGTTTTGATTTACGAGGGGTTACCCTTACAAAAAAGTTCTATAGAATTCTATAAGAAAGAATTCTATAGAAATTCTATAAAGCATTCTATAGAATTTTGTCTATAGAAATTTTATAGAGTTTCTTTAGAAGTCTTCTATAAGGTTTTATAGAGATTTTATAGAGATTCTATAGAAAAATGGGCCATAATTCTATACAGCGGTTTATAGAAGTTTATAGAAATTATACCTTTTCTATAGAACAATGAACAAAATTCTATAGAAATAAGGCTAGTTTTATTTAGAATATTCTATAGAACTCTATAGAAAATTTGGACTTTTTCTATGAAATATTCTATAGAACTCTATAGAATTTCATAGAGGTTACCTCCAATTTCTATAAAAATATTCTATAGAACTCTATAGAAAAGTTGGAACTTTTTCTATAAACTATTTTATAGAACTCTATAGAATTTTATTCAGAATTTCTGTAATTTCTATAAAAATATTATATAGAACTCTATAGAAAATTTGGAACTTTTTCTATGAACTATTTTATAGAACTCTATAGAATTGTATAGAAGTTTCTAATTTCTCTAAAAACCTTTTATAGAACTCTATAGAAAATGTAAAGCTTGTTTTGCAACACTGTATAGACTATAGAACTCAATAAAGTTCTATAGAAGTTTGGCCCTTTTCTATAAGCTTCGCTTAATAGAATTCTTTAGAAATATGATACATGTAGGTTTTTCAATAGAACATTTAATACAATTCTTGCAGACATTTTTACACATTTTCATTGAGAAAAATTTGGTTGAAAATTAATAAAGATTCCTGTTAACTTCAAAATGTGACATTACCATGGCGTTACTCTTTATTCTAAATAAAATCAGGAAAACAACCATGACACAATTACAGTTGGACAGACATATTCTGTTCTTTTAAAAAAAAAAATCTTCTGAATTTACAAATTTGTGCATGTAGGGGATGAGCAGATATCTTTCCAGTGCAGTGTATTAAATCAAAGGCACCAATAATGAACACAGTCTGTACAGTGTACACGGTTAATGTGGTGAAAAAAATAGCAGAAGTTGGGCTAAAAAAAGTAAAATAAACACATTTTTATATGAATTGTTTTCCTGAGAGGGATACTATAAATTTGGCAAGAAAGACACATGCATGAAAGACTTGTGATGGTTGCAACAATCCATGCCTATATTCAGTTTGTAAAACCATGCATAGAGCTTTGTTGAAAGGCAATGGTATTCAGACACGTTTGACAACTAGAATTGGAAGTTTGAAGGAAAGTACTGATCGTAATTTCCAAGAGTCATTCTATCAAGCTGTGACATACCTGTATATCATTTGCATGTTCATGTGTGTATGTATTGAACAAACTTTATGATAATCTTTTTAAAAGTAATGTCCATTGTAGTTTCCGGAACTGACATCTTGTAGATAGGATGATGATTCCAACTGCTTGTTGCATGCCGCTGCCTCCAATTTGCAGAGCCGGGGCAGAAGCAGTCAGACAGTCTTTGTCTTGTACATGCACATACTGCAGCTCATCTCGGTAGTTTTTGGTAGATCATATCCATGCATAGCGCAAAGGATCATGGAGACAGGTAGATGTAGAATTCTAGATGTATCATTTGAGGAAGTCTGCAGTGGGGAAAATGAATTGTTCATTTTGTAAATGATAATTTTTACAAAAAAAGTGTGATGTTAATGGAATTAATGTCCACTAACAAACATGGCCATGATGACCTAAGAATCTTATTCCTCAATGCTGTTCTTATTCAGAATCTTATTCCTCAAACATGTCAAGTCAGCTGATTCTTATTTGTTGATTCGACCCTATTTATATCTATTGATGCACCCCTTAGTTTAGTCATGGAGGAATACTTTCTCCATGGTTTAGGGAGGGAGTTTGGGCAGAAGTAGTCCCACTAACTAGGTCGCTAGAACTCCTTTTTGACATTTGGGATGTTGGTCTGTCGTAGCTAAGTACGACAGACCAACATCCCAAATGTCAAAAAGGAGTTATAGCGACCCAGAACATGGGACGGGCAGAATTGACCCATATTAAACAAGCATGACAAGTTACATGTACTTTTGTAGTTCTTAAAAATTGATGTTCTCTTGCAATTTTGCTGAGGAAGGAATCTGGTAATCACGAACTGTATTATACCGTCATGACTGAGACAACAACATTGACAGTTTGTTATAAAATATTGATATAATGTCACTATTCTATTTTGCAACAATTTAAGGTGGTTTTAAATCAAATCTTCTAACTCACCAGTCACCATCGTTTTCCCCCAGACCTGATCACGTCTTCCGTAATTCTAGCAGAGTAGTACAGCACCGTGCAAATCATGATCATCCGGAGATGTAGGCAACATTACACCATGACCATGGAGGCACACAGTAAAATCTCCATCAAATGTGTTTGCAAGAACAGCAATTAATTCTTGAAAGTTTCCATAGGCATGCCTTTTACTGCCAACATTCATGGTTTGAGCAATTTCATCTCAAACTTCTTGTACAAACAAGTACAATCATGACAATACATGTATTTTTTGTTTCCAGCAAACCCATTCCTCGATCCTTCCCACCATAGCTCCATGGTCCACTTTGGTCCAACTGACTGAATTCAAATCTGCTACACAGGCAGTTTCTGTTCTGGTACTGACTGGTATGCAAGGTCGTGTGTACATGTACATGCCGTGCATGGAACTATAAAACATGTTGGGTGAGACTGGTTACCAGCGGAAGGCAATACAAGTGGTTGTAACCTGACCTTGCTTTTAGCAGGTGGTCACTTCTCATTCTGGGTGTGGGGCTGGCCAGAGGAGGGGGGGGGGGTAATTGGATAAGTATGTAGCCTTCTGTTTATTCTAACTCCTAGTTTATCCGGTGCGTCTGGGGCGAGCTGCATAAGGAGGGGTATCCTGACTTGATGATTTTATTGCTATATGAAGTATGATATGTAATGTGATTTATGCTCTTTTTGAAGGATTAATTACAATAAAAATGCAGATGGAACTTAAGTTTCTTCTTTCACATTCTAAAACTAAATAATTATTTCTGTATGTGCTTGAATAGTTCCTTCCTCCTTGAATAGTTTGTAGTTGTAAAAAGACAAATTTCCTGCATACGCTATGTTATATAGCATGGTTCAAGCTATGCAAATCATGAAGATCGTGAATACATTACATGTAGCATGAATGGTTAACAAACAACCTCATTTCCTCGCTGGAAATGTATTGATGTATAGCTTCTATTTTTTTTTTTTAATATTAAATGATAATCTTGTACTTTGCCATAGAAAAATACTTCTCTATAGAAATTATACTTCTCTATAGAAATTATCCTTGTATAGAAGTACTTCTCTATAGAAATTATACCTTTCTATAGAAATTTGGGGTCTATAGAAAAAAATTGTTTTAGAAATCTATAGAATTCTATAGAGTAAACAATTTCTATAGACTCCCTCTATAGAAATTCTATAGAGAATTGGCGAGCCTGTAGAGTTCTATAGAACTGTATAAAACGTTCTAAAGAATTCTATAGAACATTTTTGTAAGGGTAAAGACGACGATGACAAACAGAAAATAAATTTAAAAAGCAATTGAGATGGCAAACTGCAAAAAAAGGTAGGAAAGTCACATTTTCTTTGAAATTGCTTTCAAAATTATAACTAACATGAGTTTGTCTGAAGAAAAAAGACTTCTTTAGCCTGCCAAAGTCACTTTGGTACTGGACAGTTATCTGCAAAAGTCAGTTTTGAACAGAACTCGTACAAAATAGAGGTGTCCTAAAAGTAAGGATTACCATATTTTCCCTGATCACCTACAATCATTTTTCAAATTCAATAAACTGAGCAGTGACTGAAAGTATACAAAATAAAATGTGCTTAAAGTCCGATTCCGGAATGGGAAAGATTTCCATATATACATGTAAGTTCACTGATTTTCCTCTGTATTGACTAACAATGTACATCAAACCATGAGCCTAAGTTACGAATAATGGGTGCAGGTGTAACCATACAATCACCAACATGAATGGAATCAAGGTTAACTTTAGACAACTGTTTGTGGGTCCCAATAATCATAAACTCAGTTGTACTAGCTGTCATTCAGCATTAAACCATTAGCCAACAACCAGTTACGTAAATCCTGAATACAGCTCGATCTTTGATTTTCTGAGTTGTCAGTGCTAAAAGAAATATACAGCTGAGTATCATCAGCATAACAATGATGCTGTGGAAGATGGGTCTTAATGATGTCAAACAGTGGGCTTGTATACAAAATAAATAACAAAGGCCCAAGACAAGAGCCCTGTGGAACGCCATAATCAATGTTAAATTGCTGAGAGAGATTACCATTTATAGAAACAGTCGTTGGGATCTACCAGACAAGTAAGAATGAAACCATTTTAAGAGCAGTACCATAAATACCAAATTTACTCTGGAGGGTATTTAGTAAAATGTTGTGGTCTAATTGTGTCAAAGGCGGCACTCAAATCAATGAAAACTAACAAAGAAACCTGTTGTCCATCCATAGCCATTAATAAATCATTTCTTATCTTAAGTAAAGCTGTCTCTGTGCTATAATACTGACGGTAGGCAGACTGGGCAATTTTTAATTATTATTTTAGTAGAGTATTAATTTCTTTAGTAAAGTATAGATGCTAAGCTTTAAGGGGAAACATTTTGTCCCGCCTTTCATACAGGGTGAGAAGAGTACACATTGGATGGAGCTTCTGACAGACTCTCAGGAGAAATGGGTGGATGTTCAGAAGATCAAGGCATTCCCAGCCATGGTAGCAAGCCCTACGCTAAGAACCGGGGCACAGGCACTCATGCAGGTAGGCTTATGAGGGGCATCAGGGTCAGACCTGAGTATGCGTGGATAGCTCAAGTTTTCTGCATTTTGATGAGTTGTGTACCTTTTGACAACTACACACGTTTCAGACTAGCATTCAGAGAAGTGCCGAACTGAATTATTCCAAAGAGTTGAATTAAGTTTGACGTTTGAAACATTGAGGAGCAACTACACATAAGAGTCGTTCGAGATTGTGTTGCAGTCGTTCAGAAGAATGACTCCAGCGTCTAATCAATGGAAAATTATAATACAAGAACTTTGCCCGTGTTTGAAACTTGAATTTATAAGTTGAGTTTAGTTGAGTTAAGTTAGGGACTCTGGAACACCAGTTTTAAATGGATTGAAGTACTGTTTGATAACTACGGTCTTTTAAGTCGAGTCTGCTTGACGAGTGAAGCAGTCTGCGATAAGTCGAGTATGAGTTGAGTAGTTTTTTTTTTGACAAGTAGACTACTTTTTACTGAGTACTACTTTATGAGTCGATTCATTTGTTTTCAATGAATCCTGAGGTTTTGTATTAATTGAGTACCTTTTTACAAGTCTTGTGTACCTCTGGTGAATTATTTTAATGAATATTTCGATAAGTATTTTGAGTACCGAAATGTGTACTCACAGTTGAGTACTTGAAGAAGACTTTGCGGAATGAATTTTGATGAACAGTTTGAGTAAAATGCAAGCAGGTCTTTAAAAAATTAAGTCAAAGTGGCAAAATGTATAACAAGACCATTAAACGAGATTTCTCCAGGTTTCTCGCTTTTTTGTCAGCACTAACGTTGGTCTAAATTTCCAAGACCTGGACACAATTTATTTAGAGCAAATGCATTCAAATTTTCCTTCCTGATTGGTTTCCGTCTAGATTGGTGGGTTGGGTAAGATCAAGACCAACACAATCATCAAGGAGCTCCCAAACCCTGGATGCTGGATGAGGAAGCAGCCTGGAGACCACGGAGAAGTTTCCTTGGAAGATCAGCAAGGAAGAAGTCACCACGCTCAAAGAGAAGGTAACATCTCCCCCTTGCGCTCAAGCACCCCCCCCCCCCCCCACAGTGAAAACTATTAACTTTATATTTATTTTTGTGCAAGTTGGTCAGTAGTGCAGAATGATTCACATGTTAACTAATGCATGCAAAATAGAGAAAAAAAGTAAATTTTAATGACTATCATCCCACCCTATATTTGTAGGCTATAGAAATGTCTAATCCCCCAAAACAGATTTTTACCTACCCTACCACACAGTTGTTTTTTATATGTAATAGAAAACACCACACTTTTTGTTCTTGGTTGGCCTTATTATTTTAATATATGTTTCAAATAATTTTTGTTTGTGAACCCCTCCCCCCTTCCCCCGCCCAGGCTTGACCTACTCATCCCTCACCTCATCTCCTTGAAATCCAACTGGGGGAAATGCAAGCTGCGCGTCTTTGCCACCACGGGCAAGAAGGAGCAAATGGACAGCAGGGAGAAGATGAACATGGCCAACATGCTCAGCAAGTTCTGCATCAACTGCTCGGACGTGGAGGTCATCCCGGACCTGAACAGTAAGCCCAAGAAGTAGAGCCTGAGACGGTTCAAGGAGCTGTCCAAACCCTGGATGCTGGATGAAGAAGCAGGGGAGACCACGGAGAAGTTTCCTTGGAAGATCAGCAAGGTAGAAGTCACTACGCTCAACGAGAAGGTAGAATCTCCTTCTTGCGCTCAAGCCCCCCCCCCCTTCCACAGAGAAAACCATTTGGGCGCCATCGTGGCTTATAAATGCTGGTACCAAATACACGATAACCAGCATGAGTGAACCAGTGAAGTGTCCCTCATTCCAGCTTCTGCTTGTTTGACTATAAAGCGCCCTCTTTTGTCCATGCATGGAGACAATACACTTAAACCTTTCCCAGTGTCCACTTTACGCCAAGTCCCTGGTTTGTGTGTTTTTAAGTCCAGTCTTGCAACATCTGTTAATTGTGTCCAACCTTTGACATTCTGGTGGGTGATTTTCAATAATGAGATTATCACTTTCAATCCATTTTTCCGTACAACTCTCAGTTCATTTGATTTGCCAAGTGCATGGAACTCGACTTTATTAAACATCAATAAATCACTCCATTTTTTCGCCTGAAATCTTTCTTTTTCTTTCAGACCAACAGACAGATGCGGATCCGTGAATTGCTTCTCCAACATTCCCAGGAGGCTCAGCTCATTGTCATGTAAGTACACAAAGCCACTACTAACTCAATAGACTCAATTTCATGGTTTAAGCACACAATTCTGTGCTGATGATCTAGCACACTAGCACAGAAATCCTGTGCTATCCCTGTAAGCGCAGAAGTAATCCTCTGTAACTGATTGTTTACACTTTTTGCAAAAACCGTAATTTCTAAGTGTCATGCAAAAATGTCTGTTGTAGTGTTGGCAATTCCCATGAAAATAATGAGTGGCTAATCTAAGGGCACTTACTTCACAATTACGCAAACCTACTCACTATAGCAGGAACTAGCGTGAAATCCTAAACAGGGGTGGATCTAGCTTTGGCTGGGGGATACGATGTCAAGGTGGGGGGATCTGGAAAATGTTGTGATTATTTGCGCCGGGTGGGGGGGGGGGGGTGACTGCCTATAGATCCACCACTGTAAAACCACACGCTCGCTATTTGAGAGCTGTGAAAATTACTTTTAATGTCTATAGAGATTGCACGATTTTAAGCCAGGTCATTTTTATTGGGGGGGGGGGGGGTCGCCAATTTGTGTTGAAGGTACATGTAGATTTTTTTTTTCACTAGTCCCCCGGCCTCCGTAAAATCCAAAAGCGGGGCGTAGGGGGACGGGGCTGGGTACCATCTTCCTATGGGGTGCTTTTCAAACCGGCGATAATGGCCACTATCAGACAATTAACCTATCACGGAGGAATTGCGTCAACGCAGCTTGTGAAATATTGTCTAAACATGATATACAAATACACGTGGAATGCCAAAATCGGAGACAAACAAAAATTGACGTACAAAATTCCATGAGCTGTTTTGCGGATACCGCCATCTTTGAAGGGGGGGGGGCATTACAATGAAAAGACATCCCATCATTCTCAGCTACAGTTGCATGATGAGACGTATTTTCATTGTAATGCCCCCTCCCCCCCCCCCCGAAATCAATAATTCAAAGATGGCGAATGGCTTATAGAGTTGTCTAAGGGGCGTGGTTAACTCGCAAACGGCGGTAGGTCAATGGGTGGCGCTTTTCATGGCGGCACAATTGCTGACGTTTACACGAAATACCAAAAATTCTTTACAAGCCGCTGGCGAAACAAGAAACTTTTTAAACAAAACTAAGGACACTTGTGTAAAAACTAAAAAGTTACTTGTGTAAAAAGGGCACTCTTTACAGAATACTCGGGGGGGGGGGGGGGGGTGTTAACCGCTGGTGCAAAAAAATGGGGGCGGGGTGAGCAATAAATCTAACAGTGCTTGTGACCCAGTCTGACTGAGCTACTGTGGTCACCTGATCAAAAGTTGTGATCTGATTGGCCAATGTGCACTGTTGATTGACATGCAGGAAGGGTCCATTATAACCTTTTCTTTGATTTCTTGCAGGAGTCTACCTATTCCCAGGAAGCGTACTTGTTCAGCTTACATGTACATGTGCCGGCTGGAGACATTATCCAAGGATATGCTGTCAGCAGGGGCCTTGCATCACCTGACCAAATATGGCATCCAAATAAAAGTCAATACAAAGAAATTCACATGAAATGATAAAGTGACAAAGGACAATTCCGACCAGTTGAAAAACCCTCCTCACTTGAATGGAATTTGTGCTTTGTTTTGATTGATTTCGTTAAGATTGTTTCTTTACCATCTAACGGGATCACACTTTCACTGATGTTTTTAAAGTGAGTTTCTTGAATGCAATCAAGTAATGATGATTAAGAACAATGAAAGTCTTCATATAATTTGGAGTCTGTTAATTAAGAAACACTTGTCGCACTTTTGCGGGCTTTAAAAACAACAGCCAACTCCACTTTTTTCATTACTGTAGGCACGTTTCTGTTTCAACTGAAAGTAATTAAAATCATGTTGTTTTTTTCATAACGAAGCCAATCGAAAAAAGAGAGTATTTATCAACAATGGTGGTGCTTTTGGTAATCCTCAGAATGAGGTTTTATGCATACTGTTTTCATAGCCAGTCAATTGTTACTTTTACATAATGCTCACATATTGTAACGTTTAAAATAATGCAATCATTTAATAAAAACCAGTGTATTCTAATTGCTGTGAATAGCATTAGAATATTTCAAACAATTGTTAATCCAAATGCCAAGCTTAAAATCTATAAGAAAATCAGATTCAATCACTCGAGACTTTTTTCGTGACATGAAATAAAAAATGATACATGCATGGGATTGATTTAATTGACATCATCTGTGCTGGGCATACAGGGAACATAAGGCAAAGAAAATAACAAGTTACAGTAAACGCCCTAAAATTATCCAGGTAGGTAGCAAAATATTTTGTTTGTTTGTCTGTATGTCTTTTATACTTTGTTTGCTTTAGGATACAGTTATTGTGTTGAATTAATCTGTTTTCAATACCCACTAATACAAATAAGTTGCATTTATTTTCGGGAAAAAAAACATGTTATTTTATATGTTGACCAAATGTGGCAATAAAAAAAAATGGCGGTCAGAAACATGGCCTAAAAAATCCAGGTTGGTCGAGATAACGCCATAAACACAATCTGTTTTTAGTTGTTAACATTTCTGGATACATGGTGGTACTGCTTTATTGCAAACCTTTTGTTTCTAAAAAAAAATGATGACCCAGCCTGCTTTGAAAAAATATTAAATCAAAATACTTCCCGATAGGCCTACAATGGGTACAAAAAAATCGTTGTTAAAAAACGTAACGCATACTTTTCACTATATCTCAATACTCATGCATAAAGCTAAGTATTTGTTTTGCAGAAAGTCAAAAAAAATTGGCAAATCCATTGTTGTATACAGATCAGCGCATGCGCAATGCAAAACCATTACTCATAATAATTTGTGACATTGTCATTGAACATTATTTGTTTTAATTCATTGGTTATTGTTTCGGCAAAAATGGAAAGCGATTAAAAAAATCAGCAACACGATGCTCGTGTATCTTTATGTGTGGATTGTGTTTATTCGGGGTAAAGGAGGAAGCCACTGAATGAGGTGTAGTGATTGGAACTACTATCCGCCCTACCGTACATTGTGAGATACATCGTATCTCCACGCTGCAGAACCACCACCGCGCTCCCAGACACCTGCTCATAGCGACTTGAATCACTGCTAAGGCCAGTGACAACCGCGTCGCCGTTCTTCCGGAGATAAACGGCCAGGCTGCTGCTGGAATATTTGCACACAGAAAACATGAACACGTAGGTGCCCGGCACACCACACGTGAATGTGGCGGTCTCGAGATCGAAGCTGGTACCCGGCAGAAGCGTCTCGGTCGCCTGGAAGGGCAAACGGGTGTCCTGACTCGTAGAGGTATCCGAGCTGCTCGTCCTGACCACGGTGAATGCTACCTGCTGGTTGGAGTCGTCTGGTGCCTCCCCTGGCTCACCCTTTTGACCTTTGACACCAGATTCCCCCGTTGGCCCTACAACACCTGGGACTCCTCTTGGACCAATTTTTCCGGGCTGGCCTATGCCTTCGTCCCCTTGAGGCCCAGCTGCTCCACGCTCACCTATAGGTCCAATCTGTCCAATATCACCCTTTTGACCTGGCTCGCCCTTTGACCCTGGCTGACCTAAGGACCCAGGCAGACCTGGTATGCCGGGAATTGCAGCCGACCCCTGGCAGCACATCGGACACGCCTGAGACGCAGGACCATCACCGTCCGAGGGAACCGGCCCAGTAACGGAAGCTCGGAGGTTGACGGAGTTA